GGGCCGCAGCCGGGGGATGGCCCGGGGAGGGGGTCCTCAGGGTGGGAGAGGGGGCATGACCAGGCACCCCCGGTACCGGGAGAGGGGGAGCAGCTCCCACCTTCTCCATGCACCGCACAGCGTGTGCACACCCGCTCCATGTGTGCACACACACCCGCTGCCGCCACGCAAGATCTGGCCAACTCCTGCCTGAAACCAGTCTGAGAGCTGGAGGTTTCCCAGTCTGGCCCCAGAATGAGCTTTTTTTGGGGGAGAAGAATGGAAAATGTGGAAGGGAGCCCGATCCCTGCAGGGTCCTGAGCCCAAGGACCCCATCTGTGAGCGGTGACGTGACACGGAGCTGAGCCACGGTCGTGTTTTGTGTTATAATGAACAAATACCAGGTGAAATAAGAGCAAAAAAGGGAAAACTTGTGAAAATTATGATTTTTTTTTCCCTCGGTAGGAAACACAAAGCTCATTTCCAGCTCTGGAACTGCGCTTACTGGTGCCCCATGGCCACTTAACTGGGATCCTCGGCTTGGGGACAGGGACCTGAGCCAGGTAGGGGCACCAAATCCCCTATTTTGGCTACAGTGGCAGATGCCCCCATCCCACTCCCAGGATAGGTACCAAAACCTCTATTTTATCCCAGTTGTCCCCAGTTTGCTACTGGTGTTGCTGGTCCCAGCACGGACTAGAACCGGAGAAGCTTCATTAACCACAGCAATCATCGTCCTTTATTAGGTTGAGCTCCCCACGGAGCACCCAAATTCCTACGTACATCGCTTAGGACCGGCAAAATCCATCCCTGCTCTTCCTCGGGAGAAAAAGAGCAGGGAGGGGGCATTCAAATATTATAAATTAAGAAGAAAAAGGAGGATTTTGGGTGGCTCGGCTCAGTTGGGCAGAGGTTTTTCACAGACGTAGTAGCACTCGTAGGTGCAGTAGACGTCGTTCCACTCCCCGGAGATCCAGATGTGGGCGCAATCCTCGTTGTTGCCGCTGTTGTTGGGTTCCCCTTGCTTCCAAAATCTGGGGAGAAAAACCAGCAAAATGAGGAAGGACAGTGAGCTGAGCCCAGCGGCTTTTCCTAGGGCTGGGATTAGCTCATTTTGACTGATTTTAGATGGTTTTAACTGTGTATTTTTTTGCTTCTGCTGCTGTGTTGGACCTTGTGAGAGTGCCCGTCCCAGGAAACCCGGTGCATTGGCTGCAATGGGGGCTCCCCGCTTGCGTTTTGGGGTGAAAGGGAGGAAATCGCAGGGCGGGGAGGGAGGCACTCACGTGAATGTGGTTTTGTAGTCGGTGCCGTCGATCCATTCCCATTCCCCTTCCGAATTCTCATCCGTGAGCCCGATCCAGAACCGCTCATTCCTGGTCCTGAACATGACAAAATTCTGCAGCGGGGAGAGGGATAAGGAGGGGGAAGGAAATAAAAAAAAGCCAGCGAAAAGCGGGCGCGGGGCCGTCTCAGCACCGTGGAGGGGCCAACGCCGCCCTTGGCCGTTGGGTTTTGGGGTGGGGGAGCTGTGGTGGGTGCTGGTGCCGGGTCCTGAGCATCCCGCCCGGAGGAGAAGCTCCGGATGCAGGCAGCGGGCGGGCAGCGCGGGTTCTGCCTGCTCTCTGCTGGCAGATGCAAAGGATGACACCCAAAATCGGTCGGGGTCGGAAGGGACCTCTGGAGATCTCATCCGACCCCCTGCTAGAGCGGGATCTCCTGGAGAAGATCAGCCAGGAGCACGTCCAGGATGGGTTTGGATGTCTCCAGAGAAGGAGACTCCACAACCACTCCTGGCAGCTCATTCTCATGCTCTGATTGGATATTAGGAACAAATTCTTCCCCAAAAAGCTTATCAAGCACAGGAAGGGGCTGCTTAGGGCAGTGTTGGAGCCACCATCCTCTCTCCTAAGTTCTCCATCCCCTTCTCCTCATTCTCTCCTCATCATTGCCCTTCTCTGGAGATGCTCCAGCGCCCAAAGTCCTTTTTGGAGCGAGGCGCCCAAAACTGAACACAAATTATGATCTTGATGATCTTAAAAGCCTTTTCCACCCAAATCATTTCGGGACTTTATGAATTAGACCCTGCCCAATGAGAACCAACCACAAGTTGGTCATTGAGACTCAACGGGGAGTTGACCAAGTCAACAGCACCAGTTGAGCCACCCAGTGAGGTTGGGGTGCACAGGACGGTCACAGGGAGGAACTGGGGGGCTCTGTAGAGGAGCAGGGGTGCGGGCAGGATTTGGGGAGCCCCTCGGTTTGGCCACCTTGAGGTGGAGTCTTTACCTGCTTGGCGTAGCTGTTGATGATGGCCAAGTGGGAGTGCATCTCTTCACAGCGAGCCTTGGCCTTGTACCAGTTCGTTCTCGTTAGGGAGAAGTAATAACATTTCCCATCAAAATATTCCCATTCCCTGGAGTCGGGGCCGCAGGGGAACACTGGGGAAAAAAAGGATGAAGGGGGGGGAAATCAAAGGGGTCATGGGGAGTCGAGGGGGTTCTCCCAGTGCCAAACTGGTGTGGACGCAATGGCGCAGCCCCAAAGTTTGTTGCATGTTGGGTTTTGTGTATTGGATGGCCACAAAGCCCAACAAAGCCTCTACCCTGAGGGAAAGGTGTTTATTCTACCGTATAAAAAGGGGAAAATGAAATAAAAATGGATAAATAAAGTATTTCTGAAAATAGAAAAGTATATACATGAAATAGAAGAGTAAATTTAAAATATAGTATATATATGAACAGAAAAATCTGTCTAAAAATAGAAAAGTATATATAAGAAACATAAAATATAAAGTATAAAATGTAAAATATGAAATGTAAAATATGAAATATAAAATATAAAATGTAAAATATAAAATGTAAAATATGAAATGTAAAAT